TTTCTTTTTAAAACCAACTTCTCATGTTTTGTAAACAAAACTGTTCTCTCCCACACTGCAGCACATACACACAGCATGCAGTAAAACAGCACACAGTTAACCCTTTGATCACCCCAGATGTTAAACCCTTACTGCCCAGTGCCATTAATACAGTGTCAGTGCTTATTAGCAATGATCAGTGTATTGGTGTCACGGGGGATGTCAGTGACACCATGTCAATTCCTCCCAGTGTCAGAATGCCGCCACATGCCCGCTATAAGTCACTGATCGCCGCCATTACTAGTATAAAAATAAGTAAATTTAAAAAAATCCCAGTATACATACCACCATTTGTAAACGCTATAACCAGTTTACACATATTGGGTTTTTTTTTTTTTTTTTTTTTTAAGCAAAGACATGTAGCAGAATACATTTTGGCTTAAATGTGATTAAACTTTTTTTACTGGACATGTCTAATAGCAAAAAGTCAAAAATAGTTTTTTCCCCCTCAATTTTTTTTTATATAGCGCAAAAAATTAAAAATGCACAGGCGATTAAATACCACCAAAAGAAAGTTTTAGTAGAAAAAAAAAAAAAAAAGACGGAAATTTAATTTGGGTGCAGCGTTGCATGAGCGTGCAATTGTCAGTTAAAGTAACGCAGCGCTGTATCGCAAAAAATTGACTGGTAAGGAAGAGGGGTAAATCTTCAGGAGGGCAAGTGGTAAATTAGCACTCTGTCATAATTCAAAATGGAGATACTACATCATTCAGCAGGGCAAGGCTACAAGTGAAACCTGTTAGCACAGCTATCATCCAGGTAGTGTGTAGTAGGGAACCCTTTTAACTACATGGAAGGGAGGACCATGTTTTGCAGAATTGCGCTGAAAACTGAATGTGGGAAGACATTAAAGCAGCAATATGTTGCTCTGCTGATGTCAGAAAAGTTAGAGTACCTAAGTGACAAGTCATAGTTTACAACAGGGCTTCTCAACTGGGGGTTGGCAACGTTCTACCCGTCAGTCAAAGGCAGCTGACAGGTAGCTTGCATCCCCTCTGCTGGCACACTTAGAGCCAGTCAGGGAAGCAGCTGTTCCCTGCCAGAAACTCCTCCCCACCCCAGGTGCTTGTATGTGGCATCACCTAGGATGGATAGGAGGGACTGGCAGGGAAGAGTGTGCCACAAAAGGATCACAGCCGCTACCCTGCCTAGCTCTGCATATGAAAAAAACCTATACTGCAATGTGCCCTCCTGACCCCCTGCACATTGTTTATCTCAAGTAGGACCCAGAATTGAGCACCTGAGCAACAAAAACATGTAAATCTACCAGAAATCCAGTGTGTGCTTAACCTCTTGGGTTTCAAACCTAGTACCTCTGCTGCACCGAAATCCAAACCAATGTTATCAGCCCTACCTTGGTTCTCACCTGCTAGGCTACAGAACATCCTCATGTCACAAAGGCACACTAGATTTATGGCAAAATTTTAACACCCGCTCACCACATGTACAATTGTGAACAGATGTCATAAAAATCCTGTTAAATATACAAACCCCTCATATACAAAGTAAATTTATTGTTCACAAAAAATAAACTAAAATGTATGCACAAATCTTTATTATGCATGTAAATGACATTTTTCCATTCAGAAGTTGCATGGTATCTTTCCATTAGAACATTTTTGAATATGTCTGAAACATAGGCCCTTATAAGTTTCACTTATATCCATCTGTACACAATATTCAATTCACATACTATACAATATTATGCAGCCAAAACAAGCTTGCACATCCAAGGGAAAGCAGAGGGGGCTGAGGCAAATATCCAGTGCTCACCATAGCTGAAAGGGAGTTAGCATTTTTAATAAAAATATATATATATACATAAACTGATATGACCAGATTTATATAAATAAACTATGTGTGTATTAAGTATATTGGGGCAGCCTCAATGGCACACTGCAAACACAGACTATACTGCTAACTGGAATGATTATGCTTTGCTTTATGCCTCTCTGGGCAAGTATATCAGTCTGGTTTTCTCAGTAGCTGATCAAGGATGTTAATAGAATTCTAGTCTAATTCTAACTAAGCCTAAACCTACTCCCACCCTCATCTAGCTACCCTGTTAAAAGAAAGATGCCTATACTTACCTATTCTGTCGCTCCAGTCCAGTCACATGATTGGGTTCGAGTGCCAACTTCAATGTAGAGGAGGGACAGCAAACAGATGCACCATAGTAGGCCCATGGGTGATGTCATCACCTAGACCAGGGTTAGGCAATCTGCGGCTCTCTAGCTGTTGTGGAACTACATCTCCCATGAGGCATTGCAACATTACAAAACTGACAATTACAGCTATGACTTGCAGAGGCACGATGGAACTTTTAGTCCTGCAACAGCAGGAGAGCCGCAGGTTGCCTACCCCTGACCTAGACCCTGCAGCCGTTGTTGTTCTCCCCTGTACACTAAAGCTGGAGAGATCATGTGACTGGACCAGAGCAACTTCAGAATAGATAAGTATAGACTTTTTTTATAGATAGAATAGTCTTAGAATGGGAGTGAGAGTAGATTTTAGGCTTTGTTCGAATTTGACTGGAACTCCACTTTAAGTTGCGTCAAATCGCTTTCAGGTAAATAGGTCTAAAAAGGTGTAATCACATTTACTATACTAAAATATACTCTAGTTTCCCTTTAATGAAACAAAAACCATGTTAGTTTTGTCTGGTATTACATACTGTTTTTTTGGCTCTATACAAAAGTATTGATAAGGCTTCAATTAGTGTTCCTAACTCAAGCTCCCAGGGACCATCGACAGTCCAGGTTTTCCACAGTGGCAGCTTATTACAAGCAGGTGTGTTGAGCCGTGTACATACCACTGTCACATGCTCTATAACATTTAAAAGTATGCCCTACCCATCCCTCCATGGGATGCCAAAACAACACTGTACAAGACCATAATTATTAAACACTTTAACCTTTGAATGAAGAAAACATGAGAAACATCATAGGAAACACTATTACTAAGGTTTTGAGAACTGGAGGAAAAATGTTGGGTTTTGCAGCCATCACCACTTTCATTCTGTAATGTTCTGCAGAATAGAATTTTGGCTGATCTAATCAACTGGAAAACATTTGCAAACATTTTCTCCAAAAATAGTATTAGGAATAATTCTGCTACAAGAAATCTAAAATTTCAAAATTTATCTGGTGCAAAAGTATTTTCCCAAAGAATGATTAAAATAAAAGCACTTAAAGCAACCAGATTTCAAGTGCTGATTTGAAAATGGTTGCCATGGACAACCTTTAAATTTTCATAGAATTTCCCATTCATAAATACATTAGAAATTACTTTGTCTGCTTTAGAGAAATGTCAACTTGAAGCACGAGGGCTCCATATGTGGAGCTCAACTCCCTTTCAGCAACAGCACATCTTCCTGAATACCACCAGCATCAAGCACTTCATAGGTCAATAGGTCCAAAACTAGTGTTGCCACAGACTAGTCCATTCTCAAGAAATGTTTACCAATTCCTTGAACTCAAACTGATTTGGATGAGGCTCCCAAGCTTGCAAATGTGGTGCACATGCATTTTAGAAAGCAAGCAGCACACAGTAAACTCCATAGGTGAAAAAATATTACCCCCATTGCCCTTATTGGTGTGCAATTCCTGCATAATACAAGTAGATTCTGTATAGTAAAAAATATTTATACAGCTCTTAAACAAAAAAACAAAACCAAAAACATATGGCTAGGCATTTACTGAAAACAAAAATACAATCTGATATTTTAATAAAAAAATAAGCAGATAAATGAAAGGGAAAGTCAGTATGTAGGCCTTATCACTTCACTGCTGCAGCGGTTTGTAAAGTGGCATTAAAATTCAAGCCCAGAACTGAAAGAATATGAAGCAAGATAGGACTAGTCTCTTCGGTAAGTGTATAAAACTAGTTATGAGTTAAAAACATAAGCTTTGGGTCACTGCCTGGACTGAGATTGGTAACACTGCAGAGTCCAATGGAGAGTGAGGATGCATCTTCCAACTTAACTTTAATGTTTTCATAGGAATCAAATAGCAAATGATGGTTACAATAGGATTTAAAACTCATGTACACAAGGCTTGCCAAACTGAAAGGCTGTACATTACCATAGAATATTTTAATGATCAGGTGTTCCAATTAATCCAGAATGAATGACCTCTACTGAAAGAATATAAATACTTAAAAAAATTGTGAAAATATTTTTTTCTTGAGTGCTGGGAGAATATGGTCTCAACGGGAGGACTTCACTCAAAATCAAACATCAAATCCAGAACAATCTGCAGCAATTGGAATGGAATAAACTTCTCTGGTTAAATCTACAAAGAAAAAAAACAAACAAACAGCAATAAAAAAAATGGTTCCATCAAACAGTGGCTCTTAAGCGTAATTTATTCAATACTTGAGGGTTGAACTATGTGTAATTTCAGGAATCACAATAAAAGGTCATCTTGCAAATTTATAGGAGCATGTTAATGTGCTGCAACACATAAAGTGAATATAGTTGCAGGGCAAAGCAACAGGGTCACTGTACTGCAGACCTCAACAGATGCACACATTCTTGCCATACTGTTGCTCCACCAACATCAGTGAAGGCAAATCCCCGAGTCTGTTACAAGAATATGAAGCTGCAGCTTAAAAACAGGGCTATGGACTCTTCACAACACAGATTGATCCAGCGGTGATGCAAAAAGGCGAGTCACCTGCTCCTTTCTACCTGAAGTACAAAGTGAGGAGGATCTAGAACTTCTGTGTTCATTATTTTGTCCCTGGGGGATATTTCAACTGTCACCAGAGGGCTGAATCTCTCCAAGAGAAACATTTTGAAAATATTGCTACTGGATACCAACATTCAGTGTTTTTCTCCTCCTTCCCAGCAATATTACATGCTAGTCAGAGGCTGATGAATCATGGACCCTGCTGCAGTACTTAATTGTTACAACGAATCACACCTGAAAACACTGTCACATTACAGAATAAGCGCTTACATCATCAATGTCTTCATCATCATCTCCAATGTCATCAAACTGGATTTCATCATCATCACCAGGACCAAATGTGTCTGTTTCATTGATTTTAGCTAAAAAAAATAAAAATAAATAAATAAAAAAAGCTTATTGCAGAACAGCCATCAAAACTACCAACATATAACAATGGTCAGTTGTACTGTGGCTGCTATTACCATGCTCTGGAAGTTCACCATAGGCCTTAAGACTTCTTGCTTCATCTGCATTATACTTTAGAATGACATCTGCTTTGTTGTCCTGGTAAGAAAAGACAGCCAGTAAAATAACACACAGGTACTGATAATGGATCCTCCTGCGCTTCTATGGACAGTTCCCCCTCCTAATAAGTAAGCTGCTGACACTCCAACCAATAACCTAATCAGTGTAAAAAATCTGTATACATTAGTGTAGCGCTCTAAGAAATATCATAAATACCATAAATAAATAAAAAAATTAAATGAATGTGACTAGTGCTGTAATCTCCACAGTGTTCTTAAGCCACTAATAGCACTAAGAACGAACAAACCCAACAATATCAGAATATGCAGTATAAAGTATATAATAAAATAAATGTGACAAGTGCTGAAGTCTTCTCCGTGCTCTAATAATACTGAGTAATAAATAAACGATAAAAAATAAAAGTGAAGTGTCACTCCAAACAATAAATAAATCAAATAGGTAACAGGTGACGGTGCCACTTCAACTTCATTCAATGTCCAATTTTTTCTCATAACATTCTTCTATTTAAAGTGTTCTTGATAACCATGCATAGTGTGTATAGGTAGTGCCACACGTGAACCAACACACTCTTATCCACTTTGGCTGAAATGCCTGCTCACCTCCTTCCTGCGACCCCAAGGGGCCCACAAGCCTTTAGGATCACCCTGGATCCTCAGGATTCCTGGTAATGGCACCTTCCTGATATTCCTCCATCAGGTCTCCTCCACTCCTTCCACTGCTATGCCTCCCAGGTTCCTCACCACCGGTTGTCTGTAAGCTCTCTCTCACAAAGACAGTGAGTAGAAAAACAGATCCTCCATTGTGTAGTATTTTCCAATCAAATAGGATTTATTAATAAATAGTAGTAACAGGTGACTTACATTCTGTTTGTACAGTCCCAATGTATTCCTCTCAGGGTAAACTGCAACCTCTTAGTACTGACTTCCTGATAACCAGGAAAATGGCGTCCCACACCGGAAGTGCGACACTATCCGGATAAAGTAGCGTCTATGTTTTTGCCTAGGCAAAACATAGACGCTACTTCCGGTATCCGGAGTGTCGCACTTCCGGTGTGGGACGCCATTTTCCTGGTTATCAGGAAGTCAGTACTAAGAGGTTGCAGTTTACCCTGAGAGGAATACATTGGGACTGTACAAACAGAATGTAAGTCACCTGTTACAACTATTTATTAATAAATCCTATTTGATTGGAAAATACTACACAATGGAATCTGTTTTTCTACTCACTGTCTTTGTGAGAGAGAGCTTACAGACAACCGGTGGTGAGGAACCTGGGAGGCATAGCAGTGAAGGAGTGGAGGAGACCTGATAGGAGGAATATCAGGAAGGTGCCATTACCAGGAATCCTGAGGATCCAGGGTGATCCTAAAGGCTTGTGGGCCCCTTGGGGTCGCAGGAAGGAGGTGAGCAGGCATTTCAGCCAAAGTGGATAAGAGTGTGTTGGTTCACGTGTGGCACTACCTATACACACTATGCATGGTTATCAAGAACACTTTAAATAGAAGAATGTTAATGAGAAAAATTGGACATTGAATGAAGTTGAAGTGGCACCGTCAGGCTGTTACCCTATTTGATTTATTTATTGTTTGGAGTGACACTATCACTTTTATTTTTTATCGTCTTATTTATTACTCAGTATTATTAGAGCACGGAGAAGACTTCAGCACTTGTCACATTTATTTTTATTAATACTTTATACTGCATATTCTGATATTGTTGGGTTTGTTCGTTCTTAGTGCTATTAGTGGCTTAAGAACACTGTGGAGATTACAGCACTAGTCACATTCATTTAATAATTTTTTATTTATTTATGGTATTTATGATATTTTCTTAGAGCGCTACACTAATGTATACAGAACACACAGGTACTGTACAACTATTAATGTTGTATGAGCAATTCTGACAACTTACCAGTGACTCAATTGCATAGCATTTTGGTCAGCAAGGGAGCAATGTCTATTAGGAAGCAGTTGAACCCAAATCTGCCACTGTCAAGGTGTTGACAGGTGCAGAATGGCCAAGTTTGACCTGGCCCTTATAGGCTGAAGGATGCAATTAAACATTTCTGGTTAAAGTGTGAAGAAAGTTTAGTTAATGAAATGCTGGGGAGGAGTGCAACTTTTATGTTCAACCCGAAATGAAAAAGCAGCTGTGATAGGTTCAAAAAAAGATCATGTTGCGGTACATGTCTAGTGTGCCCAGTGTGGGGGAGGGAGACCTTTTTTTGTAATTCAAAACTACTTCAGACAGTACACCTCGACAGGCTAAAACCTAGATTTTTTAACCCTCTGTTAAACCACTTCAATACCAGGCACTTTTACCCCCTTCCTGCCCAGGTCAATTTTCAGCTTTCACTGCTGTGGCACTTTGAACAATTGCGCAGTCATGCAACACTGTACCCATATGAATCTATTTTCGAATGGGCTCAGATCGCACCGCAAAGGTATCAGTAATCCATATATGGGTGCCCAAAGGCAAAGCCATTATAGTTCATCATTTTAGAGTTAAAGCATAACTAAAGAGTGAATACTTGCCTATCCAATGGTCACAGAGCTCTTCAACGGCTGGCCCAGGATGGCATCACTCGTGCACATGTGCAGCAGCCAGTCATACTAGCATTCAGAGACCGGCACAGCGCTGTAAGCCGAGCTGCGCATGCCAGCTGAGGCCAGAAAAAGACAGCAAGCAGGTAGGGGCATTTTACTGCAGAAGAGACTTGCAAAAGCCAGTCTGCTTATTTTTCTTACAGCCAAAACTTTAGTTCCACTGTAACTGTGAATGGTGGCCCTAGAGTTCTTGATCCCACTCTAGAGTTCATGATGATATCAAATATGTAAATATTTTGGATGGGTATTTAGGTCTGAGTTCAGCCACCCTCTAAAATTCCCAGATGTCTTGGCTGTCTCTGATATTACTTTCAACAGTCTTTCATTTGGAACAAAATATGAACTGCAACATTTTTTAGGCCTGCTAGAGAACTAGCATTTTCTAGGAAGAGCAGAAGCAATCTACTTTAAGTACCATTGTCCTTTTAAGAAAAATTATTTTTGAGAGACAGAAGTGATATTGCTAATCATTCTGCGAATATTTATCCTCTTATTTGATACACTGTCTGGTGTAAGTATGCACATAGAATGTTTGCTTAACGTATGGCCTGCTTAAGAATGAAGTCAAATTTTCTTTCCTGCAACCAAGGGTTGCACAAAAGAAATCTGCTAGATTACCTCATCAATATATTCGGTGTTGATGGGGGCAATCCCTCCTGCAGAGCTTTTGTATTCTAACAACAGGAGGTATCCCAGCTGTCAGATTCTTTGCAGTGCAATTTGAGCCCATTCATTTTGTATGGGCTCAAAAGGCACTGCAAAAGGTATCGTTTCAGGTATCAGAATACGAGTGCTCCTGCAAATGTTTAGTATCTATAGTAACAGTTTTTGGCACCGATACCGGTATCGGTGCAACCCTAGCGATTTTCATTAACATAATATGCACCGTTTGAGAAATGTGCACACTTCTAAGGCTTGGCGTGCTTAGGTTCTATTTTCTTGGCGTAACTTCATCTTTTGTATTTTATAATCAGAAAATAGGTTTGTTTATCCCCACACACTTTCTGGGCCTAAAATGTGCATTTTAGCAAGTCTGGAAAAAGTAAATAAAAGCTCTCACAGTAGAAATGGTCGAGTACTTTTTAAGAAGAATTGTTAGGATTTTTATTTCAATATACAGTTTAATACACTGCACACCAAATGGAATGTGTAAAGTACTTACTTGATAGTCTCGTAAGCCCACCAGTATAATATCGGATGTGTTAATCCACACCTAATGGAAGAAAAAAAAAATGTTTTTACACAATAATTCAGATGAAGTGCGAAGGAGTTAAAAACCAAAAATTAGCCATGAGCTTGTTTAAAATTTCATTCATGGCCGTTTCTGACTGTAAAAAAGATAAGGTGGCAATAAAGCCCCTGAGTTCTACTACAATTTAGAAAGCACCCCTTACCTCACCTCAGGCTTTAAGAGCTAAATACTTGATTTGACCTCTTTTAGAAGAATACTCAATCAAGAAAAGGAAGATTTAGCATTTATTAATAGGGGTTTAGGAATGATTTTAGGAGCACCTTAATATGTTAAGCAACAAAGGTTTAAGTGCAAGTTGATATAGACTTTGGTGTACATTCAATTTTCACAGTTTCATCAAAATCGAGTTATAAACTCCTATTTCATATTTACTGACCTAAAACTGTATTATAATCACAAAGCACTTTGTCTAAGCCAGTCTCTATGAATTACAGGATCTCAGATTTTTCAAAAGTGTTTTGTATGCATCCTAAAAATGGTGCAGCATGCACTAAATCCACATATGTGTCTAGATGCTGTACTTTATTTACATAGTTGGTAAGGTTGAAGGCACAAGTCCAACGTGTGTGTGTGTGTTCATGTTAAAAAACTCATCCCTGTATACTGTGTGCTCTAGGAAACCCATCCAAGAATTGTTTGAAACTATGAATACTTCCAGCTGGCACTGATTGTGGAAGTGAGTTCCACATCCTTAATGCTCTGACAGTGAAAACCCCCCTAAGCAGTTTAAGTTAAACCACTTCTCTTCCAAATTCTTTGAGTAGCCCTGCGTCTTATATTCCCTGAGACTGAATAGTTTGTTCCTTATGCCAGCATCACCATTGAGGTATTTTTACAATCGCTATCATATCTCCCCTTAAGCGTCTTTTCTCCAGGGAGAACAGGTTTAATGTTTGTAGTCATTTCTCATAACAGATGTCCTCCAGTCCCCTTATTAACTTTGTTGCCCTTCTCTGGACGCTCTCCAGCTCCAGCACATCGTCCCCCAGGACTGGTGACCAGAACTGGATGGCATACTCCAGCTGTGGCCTAACCAGAGTTTTATAAAGTGGCAGGATTAGAGTTTTATCTTTTGAGTAAATTCTCTTTTTAATGCATGCCAATAATCTGCTAGCTTTGCTTGTTGCAGCTTGCCATTGCATACCATTGCCAAGTCTTGTCATCTACTAGTACCCACAGATCTTTTTCCATTCTGGACTCCCCCAGAGGTTTTCCCCCCTAGCATGCAACTTGCATTCATATTTTTAGCCCCCAAGTGCATTATTATTTACATTTTGCAACATTAAAATTCATTTGCCATGTATCTGCCCACCCCTTAATTTTATTGAGGTCTTGTAGAGTTTCTGTACTTTGCAGGTGATACAAAACTAAGTAGGGCAATAACCTCACAGCAAACACTGAGATTAAGCTATTTATACCAATCGCTAGATCAATGATGATTAAACAGAATTGGTCCCAGTACAGAGCTTTGGGGTACCCCATTTACTACTCCAGTCCAATCAGAGTACATGCCATTTATAACCACCCTTTGTACATGCCCCTGTAACAAGTTATCTATCCATGTACAAATCATATGGTCCTGCAGACCTCAATTTGTAAATTAAGCGTCTACGGGGGACTGTGTGAACACTTTTGCAAAATCCAGATACACCACATTCACTGGCCTCCCTTTAGATGGCAGCTCACTTCCTCATAGAATGTTAACAGACTGGTTTGGCAAGAACGATCCTTTGTAAAGCCGTGCTGATTACTACTAATGATATTCTCTTCCTCAGCAAATTTTTGAATATGGTCCCTTCTCCCCTCCAAAAGTTTACATACTATCAATCTTAGACTGACTTGTTTATAGTTCCCATATATACAGTTAGGTCCATATATTTTTGGACATAGGCACAATTTTAGTTTCTTTTAGGTATTTACCAAAACATATTAACGCTATAGTTATATAATGTATATGGACTGCAAGTGTACACTGTTTAATTTGAGGGTATGTACATCCAAATTGGAGAAAGGGTTTAGGAATTACAGCTCTCAAGAGTAGCCATCTCCCCTTTTTCAAGGGACCAAAAGCAATTTGACAGTTGAATACAATATGTTCATTTGTATTATTTTGTTGAGAATCCTTTACTGGCAATGACTGCCTGAAGTCTGGAACCCATGGACATTACCAAAGACTGGGTTTCCTCCTTTTTGATGCTTTGCCAGGCTCTAACTGCAGCTATCTTTAGTTCTTTGTTTGAGGGTCTTTCTGCCTTTAGTTTTGCCTTCAGCAAGTGAAATGCATGCTCAATGGGGTTGCGATCAGGTGATGAACTTGGCCATTGCTGAATATTCCATTTTTCTTTCAAAAGCTCCTGGGTTGCTTTTGCAGTGTGTTTTGGATCATTGTCTATTAGTACTGTGAAGCGCCATCCAATCAACTTTGCTGCATTTGGCTGAATCTGGGCTGACAGTATCTCTCTAAACCCTGCAGAATTCATCCAGCTGCTTCTGTCACATCATCAATAAACACCAATGACCCAGTGCCACTGGAAGCCATGCATGCCCATGCCATCACACTGCATCCACCATGTTTTACAGACGACGTTGTGTACTTTGGATCATGAGCTTTTCCAAGCCTTCTTCACACTTTTTTTTCTTTCTGGCCATTCTGGTACAGATTAATATTAGTTTCATCCATCCAAAGAATGCTTTTCCAGAACTGGTCTGGCTTTAGATGTTTTTTTGAGTCTAATCTAGCTTTTCTATTTTTCAGGCTTATAAATGGTGTGCACCTTGTGGTGAACCCTCTTTATTTGCTCTCGTGAAGTATCCTCGATTGTAGACTTTGGCGATACACCCCCCCCTTGGAGAGTGTCCTTCACTTGTCTGGATGTTGTGAATGGGTTTTTATTTACCATAGAGAGGATCCTGTGTTCATCCACCCGTTGTTTTCCATGGACATCCATATCTTTTTAGGTTGCTGAGCTCACCAGTGCGTTCTTTCCTCAAAATGTACCAAAACTGTTGATTTGACCACTCCTAATGTTGCTGTCATCTCTCTGATGGATTTGTTTTGTTTTTGGTCCTGACGAAGCTGAGTGAGATACGCCCATCGGCGAAACGCGTTGACGTCATACGTCAGATACGTCACTTCCGGTCATGCGCATTAGGTGGAACGCACGCTGACCCATAAGGAGGAAGCCATCTTCACATGCCATGAGGCAAGTGTGAGCAGCACAAGCGCCAAGAAGGGGCTGGAACCCGCGGGTATATCGGCGGATGTCAGCGGTGGTTCCTAGGCCTCTGTGGCCGTGTATGGCAGTACCCATGAAGGACATCTCTTTCATTCCTAATACCCACAGCACAGGTGGTGAGTGGACTGTTACAGGACATTAGATATATGGTCCTCTGTGATCTATATATCTTATTGAGTGTTAACTCTGTCAGTGACTTCCCACATATCATTTGTCTCACTACAGGATGGGGACATCATGGTGCTTTGTATAGGATACAGGATATACCACATATATCTCAACAGGCAGAAGATCTTTTGGGATATGTCCTGTTTTCCCTACGAAAGGTGGTGTGTAGTCCACATATAGTGGTGAAGATACCATTTTCAAGCAGAGTGCTGCTTTTTGCATCTTTTCTTCCACCCTGGGAATAAATGGGGCATATTTTCATTCAAGAGCTCTAGGATACAGTTGTTTATATTACAGATGAATGGGCCCCAACCACTTGTGCCGGCACAGGAATGTATTGCATCATATATTTGACAATTATGTCTCCCTCCATACAGGCCTGAGGCTTGTTGTTCTCTTTTTGACGCATATTGTGCTTGCTGCATTGCATACATGTGATATTTATATCCATAGTACAATTTTTGGATTCCCTTATTGGGATTCACCATAAGGGTATTGTTCTATTTAAAATATTCAATATTATGGTATGCCTATGGTATAATTTTTGGATACACCTCTTTTGGGAAGTGTTCACCTATGTGTCTGTGCAACAGGGACATTAGACTCCTGCAGTCATTTTTTCTGTTGCACATGCATTTAGACCGGTCTTGGTGTCATTTTTATATGGTTTTAGGTCTGTGTGTATTGTCTCATACTGAGGTGATGGTAAACCAGGGCGAATGCCCATATGTCATATTTATATATGTGTAATAAAGCATAATTTTTGGAATTTTTCTGAGTGTCACGTTCTGTTCATAATGTAGCCGCTTTTTCTGTGAATTTCTTTTCACAAATCCCCTTTTTTTGAATGCCTCTTTTGGCTACTGAATGGAAACCAAATATTGGGTGACATGATAATTCATTTGACAACCTCTTAATAACTACCTTTAATACATTATAAATGGTGTGCACCTTGTGGTGAACCCTCTTTATTTGCTCTCGTGAAGTATCCTCTTGATTGTAGACTTTGGCGATACACCCCCCCCTTGGAGAGTGTCCTTCACTTGTCTGGATGTTGTGAATGGGTTTTTATTTACCATAGAGAGGATCCTGTGTTCATCCACCCGTTGTCTTCCATGGACATCCATATCTTTTTAGGTTGCTGAGCTCACCAGTGCGTTCTTTCCTCAAAATGTACCAAAACTGTTGATTTGACCACTCCTAATGTTGCTGTCATCTCTCTGATGGATTTGTTTTGTTTTTGAAGCCTTACAATGGCCTGTTTCACTTGCATGGACAGCTCCTTTGAACACGTGATGTAGGTTCACAGCAATAAAGTCCAAATGCAAATACCACACTTAGAATAAACTCCAGACCTTTTACCTGCTTAATTGATGAAGAAATAAAGGAATAGCCCACACCTGGCCATGAAACAGCTTTTGATTCAATTGTCCAATTACTTTTAGTCCCTTGAACAAAGGGGGATGGCTACTCTTAAGAGCTGTAATTCCTAAACCCTTCCTCCAATTTGGATGTACATATCCTCAAATTAAACCTGAGTGTGCGCACTTTCAGCCCATGTCCATTATATAACTATAGCTTGAATATGTTTTGGTAAAAACCTGAAAAAAACTAAAAATTAGATTACATAAGACCAATATAAAAGATTAATACAGAAATGTTGGCTTGCTGAAAAGTAAGGTCATGCACAGTATAGTATGCACTCAATACTCGGGGCTCCTTCCGCATGAATTACTGCATAAATGCATCATGGCATGAAGGCGATCAGCCTGTGGCACTGCTGAGGTGTTACAGCAGCTCAGGTTGCTTTGATAATGGCCTTCAGCTATTCTGCATTGAGTCTGGTGTCTCATCTTCCTCTTGAAAATACCCCACATATTTTCTATGGGGTTTAGGTCAGGCGAGTTTGCTGGCCAATCAAACACAGTGATACAATGATCATTAAACCAGGTATTGGTACTTTTGTAAGCGTGGGCAGGTTCAAAGTCCTGCTGGAAAATTAAATCAGCGTCTCCAAAAAGCTGGTCAGCAGAGGGAAGCATAAAGTGCCCTATATTTTCCTGGTAGAGGGCTGTGCTGACTTGGGACTTAATAAAACATAGTGGACCAACACCAGCAGATGACATCACTCTCCAAATTATCACTGACTGAAAACGTCACACTGAACCTCATGCAACTTGGATACTGTGCCGCTCCACTCTTCACTCATACTTTGGGACCTTGATTTCTAAATGACAGTTGTAGCCCATGTCCTGGATACGTCTGTGTGTTGTGGCTCTTGAAGCACTGACACCAACCGTACTCCACTCCTTGTGAGTCTCCCCAAATTCTTGAATGGCGTTTGCGTCACAATCGTCTCAAGGCTGTGGTTATCCCTGTTGCTTGTGCACCTTTTTCTAGCACACTTTTTCCTTCCACTAAACTTTCCATTAATATGCTTGGATACAGCACCCTGAACGGCCAGCTTCTTTAGCAATGACCTTTTGTGACATACCCTCCTTGTGAAGGGTGTCAATGACTGTCTTCTGGACAATTGTCAAGTCAGCAGTCCTCCCCATGATTGTGTAACCATACTGAACCAGACAGACCATTTAAAGCAGGGGTCTCCAAACTGCGTCCCGAGGACCAGATGTGGCCCTTTGCTACCCTTTACCTGACCCTTGGGGCACTATTCCTCCCACTGAGACCAACAATGGGGCAGTACTTCTGCCATTCAAACCAATGATGGCACACTATTCTTCCCACTAATACCAATGATGGGGCACTACTCCTCCTGCTGACCACCAACCCTGCGGCCATGTTTATTCTCACTGATGCTGGGGCCAGGACATTTTCTATCCTCGTTGGTCCTAATCTGGCCCTCCTGAAGTCTGAAGGACAGCATAAATGGCCCCTTTGTTTGAAAAGTTTGGAGATCTGATTTAAAGGCTCAGGAAACCTTTACAGATGTTTTTATTTAAATGAGCTGATTAGAGTGTGACACCATGAGTCTACAATATTGAACTTTTTCACAATATTCAAATTTTCTAAGATACTGAATTTTGGGTTTTCACTAGCTGTAAGCCATAATCAAAATTGAAATAAAATGTTTGAAATATATCACTGTGGGTGACGAAACTAATACAAGAGTTTCACTTTTTGAATTGAATTACGTAAATAAATTATTTTTTTGATATTCTAATCTTTTGTGATGCACCTGCAGGTTTTGCTCATTTCTAAGTGTCAATAAAACACCTATTCCAATTTGCAATATGAAAATCTAGCACAACCCACTATAGAAGCCAACTATACGAGTAAAATATACACCAGAAAAACAGAGAAGTGACATAATATGGTTAAAACTGTCAGAGGCCAGCTCAAACAAGCACTTCTACATATTGAATCAGTACAACATTTCTATACCAAAATGACCAGATTACAATAAGGGTGGCAAAAGCAGTAAAGACCTCAATCTTTCAATATCACCGCTTCACACACCTTTTGGTCACAGAGACATGGACCCAGTGGACACCAATACCATCTCTTCCGAATTCTTGTTTTCTTTAGTGCGTTTTTGGAAGCTACTCTAGCCCCCCCTCGCCTCCTTTGATGTGCAAAAAATTCTTGCAAACCGCACACAGTACAAAGCAACACCCTATACTATTACAACCCCAACCAACAAAACTCCAGGTCCTGACAACCTTCATTAGCAGTGGTAGCTTCAATAGTGACCTTATTGCCCTCTGGAGGATTTGATGTGGGACTTTTACCAGCTTCCAAGAGTGAACAGCAGCCAACAGCAGCATGAGAGGACTCATTTCATTGAGCTCCCACTGACAATCTTTCTAATTCACCTCTCCGCAGCCGCATTATTGTTACAAACGACTCCTGCTTCCACCCACTACTGCCTGTGTCCCTGAAGAGCCCTCCAGCAGAACAGAAAGGAAGGAGCAGGACCGAATCTCCAACATCGGCACTACCACAGAGAACCCCAACAAGGTGCCGAGCAAAAGGACTAGTGTCCTTACAGTAGTGAACAGGGCAATCCCACAAAGCAGCCAAATAAGGTTTAAGATTAAGGTTTTACTTGAAATCTGATCACTTTTTGCACTCCAATCTAGTGTTAAATGGCCTGTCTCACCTCTACAACTGCGAGAGCTTATTTTGTTGAAGAAAACAAAAGAAAGCCAAGAAAAGGAAACAACTATCACATCTAAGAATTGCTGAGCTACAATAAAATGTTTGCTTTAATGTTTACCACTTCAATATATCCGTTTATGTTCAGAAAGCCATTCTTCTACAGAGGAGAGACCCCAAGCAACCCCCCACCACCCTCAGTACTGCATGCTTCAAATGTAGTCAATACTATTTTACCAAAGATGAGACTAACAGACTAGGTGAGAGAGTATCCATGCCAGGTTTTTTTAAAAACTGAAATCCGGACAAAGTTAATTTCCTTTTTCTTAGATTGCCAGAAGACAAACAGCAGAAACATCTCCTCCCAGTAAGAACACAGTCATATTGGGTCCCAGTCACCTATAGGGTGGTCCATGGACAACAGTTACCAGAGCCAGGAGGAAAATAGAACGAAACACTGCAAAGTGTATTCCTGGCTGGTTGGAAACACAAAAACTGAGGATGAAGGGGAGAGAAAGGCTTCTATGTACTAGTTTGCATTTCCTCTTGAAGGCAGAGCAAATCATCTCAAGCAAGTTGTCCTGGAAGAGGATTAGGGAAAAAATATTTTGTGGAAATGACACTTTCAGTAAGCATTTTTTAATGCTAGAAAATTATGTGCTTTTACCTGCAATGTAAGTTGCTGACAGGGTCTCTCAGGGTCACCCTATTTGTGTTCATGGGATGGTCACTATAAATTAAAATACATACTGCTAAGGGCCCCTCCTGTTTCAAAAACTATAGGTCAAAGACTTATGGTTTTTAAGTACGGTCCCGATAACATAAATGTGTCGTGTATGTGGCACAGATGCTTATAAAATGAAGCAAAGTCTTTGACAGAATCTGTTAATATCATGGATTATTTAAAATGATGCCTACCTTTTTCCTCAGTTTTCCTCTAATGTGACATAGTCTCTTCACTCCATCAAAACACATAGCTTCCAGTCTACCATTTCCCAACATCTTGATCACTTGTGCATATTCTGAGGAGACATTATCAAGTAAAGCATTTCATTTTGTAAAATAGCAAGAGTTAACCGTGTAATATACAAATTGTTTTTTTTAAAGAGACAAAGTGAAACAGAAGATGCATTTTAAAAAACACATTAAAAATACAACGTATGTTCATAACAGATATAATTTCTCCTATTGTTTCTAAATCGGGAAAGATTAACGGACTTAAACTATATTCTAGAAGGCCCATTTCCACCCACATTCTGTATTAATGGGGCAAGCACAATGGATTCTGGTGTGTGAAATAAGGGGCCCGAACCTTAAAAGATGCAAAACCACCTGAATTGCAAGTCAACATGACAAAGGGTTAAGGCATGCATTGTGGTATCAATGAGCTGTAAAAAAAAAAAAAAAAAAAAAGTTATGTAAATGCACAAAACTACCACTGTTATATCAATAGTACTCCCAGTGAAAAACAAAATATTAAGGCCGTATATAATTGCTAATAAAGAAATCGACCCCAGGATCCACTCCTCTAGTCCCCGCAATTACCTTGTACACCCAACCTTCAACGCAAGCAATTTCACTTCAAAATATACAGCATATCAGTCGACTCAATGTATAAAAGAGATTATTCTTAAACTGCATTCTTTTTCCAAAATCTAAGAGCCAGCAGCAATTTGATTCAATATATGCCGTTCCAGGCTCCTAATTTTCAAAAGAAATACAATGGTCCTTACCTTGCCCATCTTCTTTAAACACCAGTTCTCTCTTTTCAGACTCATTTTCATTCTTACCACGCCTTCGATTTTTACCTCCCTTACCTGCAAAGAAAGACATAAAATGTTGACACACTCAGTGCACATAAGTTAAAACACAGTATGTCCAACATCGAGCACTTCTGACACCAACATTTTTTTTTTTTTAAAAGAAAAAAAGAGTCAAAGGGTTAAAAGCAGTCATGTTTGTATAGATCAGGCATCACTAAATGGCAGACCAGGTGACAGTCCCGTCCGGACCGTGCCACACCATTTAGCAGCCTGAGTAGACTCCTCTCCTCCCGCTGTTTGAAACCGGGATGAAAGGCAGGGTGGACTCCTATTCTGTATGCACTTGCCTGCCACCACTGTAGTCGGCGCTGCTGTTGGAAGTCACAGCAAGGAAGAGGGCAGGAGGAATGTACTGGCTTGCTGTCGCTGCTGAACTCAGGGCAGGGAGGAGAGCAGGAGGCGCTGCAGGTATACAGGGGGAGCCAACCTTTCATATTAACAAGTGGGTTACTCCCCTTTTAACAAGAAGAGTTCGGCAGCTCACACACTCAGTGGAGATCTTCTGTGCCTCCTGCCCTCCTCGGAGTTCAGCAGTGGCGGAAGGTTGATACATTCAGAAGAGGAGTCCTTCCTTCCATTCCTCCCGCCCTCCTTCCTGCTGTGACTTCAACAGCAGTGGCAACGATAGCAGCTCCTGCGAGTACATACAGAACAGGAGTCCACCCTGCCTTGGCTCCTGCTCTCCACAATGTTGAGTTACAGTATGGGGAAGAATATGGGGGGGGGGGGGGGGGCTGTGATGTGAGAGGAGGGAGCCGTGATATCGGGGGCTGTGATGTGAAGGGTCTGCAATGTTGGGGGGGGGGGGCTCTAAAGTGAGAGGCAGTTGTGATGTACAGGGGGCTGTGGACATTAATTAGGGGCTGTGATGTGAAAGACCTGAGTAACCCCAGACCTCTGCAGGAAGAAAATGTTGCCAACAGGACCTCTGTGAATTTTAATTCAGTACCCCTGGTATAGATGTATCATGTCTTTGTTGGTGAGTTTCTGGGACTGGGGTTGGAAGGAGATCCCCAAAACCAGTGTTTCTCGTCCCTTTTCCAGTCAGGGTGCCCTTGAAAAGCATTTTCAGTCACAAGGCACCCCTGTCCAAGGTTTGGTTCACGGTATTGTGTGTTGCGGAATGCATGCAAAAAAATTGCGCTCATTCCTGACACGCAAATGCTTTGCTCTTTGGGGGTACCCCATACATTGGCAAATGCAGGGTGTTTTTGGTATGGTGCAATTTTAAAACCAAGGTCAGGGATGACTTCCTGCATTTCTGCAGGTAAGGCAGCCCACTGAAAGGAATGGGCTTGCCCTACACACAGCCACACAGATGTGAACCAAGTGAAGTTGGAGGGCAGTAACACCACGCAATTGAGCTGCTTTTACCACCCCCAACTGCTCTCCCTTCAGCTGCATAAACAGCTGGGGGTATACACATGCTGTTGCCACAGCTGGAGGTATACCTCAAGGTGAATGGAGTTGAACTACAACCACTCCGCACTGCTGTGATATAGTGCACGTTACTAATACACAACATTAGGGTATGCATCTCAAACCAAAGCTCAACACACACTCTCGCTCGTTAAATTAGCAGTGCTGCATGGCAAAAAATGGCCTGATCATTAAGGGGGTTAAAACCTTCAAGTGGTTGAATTTTAGTTCTCACGTGTGTTAAAATAAAGGTTTGATATCTGATCTGCTTGTCAGATAATGCACCACTTCCACCAGAAAATTGTTGCAATTACAAATGTTTAGCCATTCTGTTACTTTTTGTTTGTATCTGTATGACAAAAAAAAAAGGAAAAAAAAAAAAAAAGGAAGAAGAAATGGAGAAACAAAAACGCCCATAACAGATATTTCATGCAAAACCCCCAAAAAGGACTAGACAAAACTATTGGCATCCTCAATTTAATATTTGGAAGCACACCCCTTGGATTAAACAAACAAAAAAACAAAAACAAACAACCAACTGAAATCAATCGCTTCCTGCAACCATCAAGAAGTTTCTTGCGCCTCTCTACTGGAATTTTGGACCACTCATCTAACGTCAACTGCTCCAGGTCTCTCAGGCTGGAAGGGTTCCTTTTCCCAACTGCTGTTTGGAGATCTCTCAACAGGTGCTCTATGGGACTGAGATCTGGACTCATTGCTGGCCGATTCAGTACTTTCCAGTGCTTTGTCTGAAACCAGTTCTGGGTGCTTTTTGACACATGCTTTGGGTCACTGTCCTGCTGTAAGACCCATGACCTCGGATGGAGACCCAACTTTCTGACACTGGGCCCTACACTGCACCCCAGAAATCTTTGTTAGTCTTCAAATTTCATAATGCCATGCACTCGGTCCAGTGCCTGAAGCACCAATACAACCCCAAAACATCAGTGAACCTCCACCATGTCTGACTGTATGCTTTTCTTTAAAGGCCTCATTGTTTTTCTGAAAACAGTAGAATGATGGGCTTTACCAAAAAGCTGTAATTCCGTTTCATCTGTCCACAGCACATTCTCCCAAAAGGATTTTGGCTTCCTCAGGTAAGTTTTGGCAAACCCAAATCTGTTTTTTTATGTTTCTGTGTCAGCAGTGGGGTCCTCCTGGGTCCCCTACTATAGCGTCCCTTTTCATTCAGTTATACTCTGTGCCTGAAGGTCAGCTTGATACTTTCTGGAAGTTGATCGAGGTTCTTTAGCCACCAAACCACCTTGCAATCTTTGCTCAATTTTTTTTTTCATCCAGGGAGATTAGCTACAGTGCCATGGGCTGGAAACATCTGGACAATGTTGTGCACAGCAGACACAAACATTAATATTTCTGGAGATGGACTTTTAAACCTTGAGATTGTTCATGCTTTCCCACAATTGTTCTCAAATCTTAAAACAATTCTTTGCTGCTTTCTCTCTACTCCACATGGCACACAGACAAAAGAAAGGTTGAGTCAAATGTTCACCATTTTAACTGTTTGCCAAAATGATTTCTAAATTGTCAGCACCTGTTAACTGATACAGGCGAGTTTAATTACAAATCACAGGAGCATCATAAACTTGGAATTAAATTTCTTATTTTGAGAAGGTGCCAATAATTTTTTCCAGTCCATTTTTGGAGTTTTGTATTGGTATGGAACAAAAAGCAAACAAAAGAAACAGGAGAAACTTTTTCCCCCCAAAAAAGGGGGGAAAATATCAGTGCGTCATATGGAGCGGCCGGTCCAGTATTTCCGCTGCCGTGTCAGAATGCCGGGCCGGCCGCTTGGCTCTTCTCTGCTGCAGGACCTTTCTTGTTCCTCAGTCCAGCGCTGTACAGTCTTCCGGCGCCGGCACCTTTAGTGTGAGCACCCGGCTGTGACAGCATGTGCGAGACGCGCTGCGCTTTGTGAATGGTCTGGCGTCTTCTGGGACACATGACACCCCTCCCTCCCCAAAGGTCCGAAGTCTCTGGGTCAGTCCGCCCTGGGTGCTGTGTCCGCAGTCTCTGGGTCAGCCCCCGTGCTGTGTCCGCAGTCTCTGGGTCAGCCCCCGTGCTGTGTCCGCAGTCTCTGGGTCAGCCCCCGTGCTGTGTCCGCAGTCTCTGGGTCAGCCCCCGTGCTGTGTCCGCAGTCTCTGGGTCAGCCCCCGTGCTGTGTTTGCATTCTTTGGTCATCCCCTGTACTGTGTCTGCAGTCCATTGGTTCAGAATATTTTTTTTTCTTGTTTTCCTGCTCTAAAATCTAGGCGTGTCTTATGGAGCGAAAAGTACGGTATGTAGCCTAAGGAATTATTTGATGTGACTGCAGGTCACATTTTGCTTCCCATTATACTCTATGGGCATTCTCTTTTGTCATTTGCTTTTATCATTGCACAGAAACAGCTATAATTCCAAATAATTTCAATTTTGCAATCTGCTACTCTACTTGGGGAACACTTGTGGGAAAGGTGAAATTTCTCTGTTTCTCATATTTGTCTGAAAATAAAATTCATATTCTGCCTCCCATTATATTCTATGGGCATTCCCTTCTGTCATTCCATAGAAAACAATGATAATCCTGTTTAGGGCTCATGTACACTGCAGCTGATAAACTCACATTTAGGAGCTTTTTTGCATTTTTTTTCAGCAGCCCCTGACCTCTCCCTAATGTTTCCTATGTGTCCATGTACACAGTCGTTCACTGGCAGTTAAGTTTACAGTCTGAACGCACCAAACCTGCGTTCAGGAGTAGATTTTACCGGCGTTTCAAACGCCAAGCGCTTGTAAACGCGGTTAACCACGTTTAGAGGTGGATTTTAACTGTTGCATGTCCAGATGCTGTCCAGAGCCTTTTTTCATCATCAGAAATGCATGCAAAGCGTTTTCCTTGTATTCAAATGGACCTAGTACACCAGCACAGTCAGTTGCAGCTTTCGCGTGAAGCAAAAAAATGGTAGAACACGCTGCATTATGCTCATGATGAGATCCATAGTCAATACAACCAGAAAAGACAGGTCATCTCAACACATACTGATCTCTCTGCTTCTGCTCTCAATATGTCTGAAATAGTTAATTTTTTACTGTTTTTTCAGTGCATTTGGGAGGGTCTCCTGAGGTTATCTTTTTAAAAAAAAAAAAAAAGATTCTATAAAACGTGGTATGCAAACACGGCTAAACTAACGGTTTTTAACCTATGTTTTCCATTAGTTTCCATCGTTCAAAAGAGTTTTCCCAAACGCCCCGTGTACATGAGCACTTAAACATCACCACTGAATTTGGAGAGCATGTCTGCTAAGGATTTGATATGTCTAATGGTTGACTCCAGGTCACATTTTTCTTCCCATTATACATTACGGGCAGTGCTACGTCTCAGTCATCATTCCATAGAAAACAGCCATAATCTCAAATAATTTCAATTTTGCAATCTGCTACCCTACTTGGGGATCATCTGTGGTAAAAGGCAAATTGCTACATTTCTCAGATTTGCCAGGAAATTAGTTTCTATTTTGCTTCCCATTAGATTCTGTGAACATTTCCTTGTCATTCACCTTTGTCTCTCCATAGAAAACAATG